TGTAATTTATACTAGATGAGACCCTTCAAAAGCCGATTTCCTATTTTATACCAGCCCAATTATTACTAATGATGGGCTTCTTTCCCAAATGGAAAGACTAACAACCCTTTGAACTGTTACGTAATTCCATTGTAGTTCATTAGTATGAATACCTTGTAGTTTTTATGCATCCCCAAAGTGTTATAATTCCTTAAATTACACTCTTTTGTGTGATGTCCCCCCAGAGACAGCCCCCTGTGGCAAACCCATGTTGTTATATAACAGGGTAGGGATAATTTTCTAAGGCACCTCGTAAACATTGTGCACGTGTGTGTCGAGTTTTTTCCTTCCGTCCCTTTTTTCTCTTTTTCAGCTTTCTTTCCCTCTGCTACTGCCTCCCTCCCCCCCCTTTAATCTTTGGGACAGTGTGTTTTTGAGCGTATAACCTTCTATTCCCGCAATGATATTCCCGAAAAGAAAAAATACCCCAGGGCTACTACCTGGCAAGGTGGGTAATGTCTGCGCACGTGGAGCAGCGGGGTACCGATACGCCTCACTTGGTCACGGTGCATTCTTTTATTTATTTATTAAAATATATCTTTATTGATTTCAGAGAGGGGGGAGAGAGAGACATCAATGAGAGAGAGTCATTGGTCGGCTGCCTCCCGCACACCCGCTGCTGGGGATCGAGCCCACACCCCGGGCCTGTGCCCTGACCGGGAATCAAACCGTGATCGCCTGGATCTTAGGTCAGTGCTCAACTGCTGAGCCACACCGGCCGGACCCTGCACATCCTTTTATACAGTGAGCGTTCTCACGTCTCTCCCTGACCCAGCCATGTGGCGATTTCCAGTGATCTCCATCCATTTGCCCAGGACTGGTTCCCAGCAGTGGATTACCCATGGCTCCTTTACTGTGAGCCATTGACTAGTTTTCTTACCCTTAACACCAGGAGGACAGGCACTTCAGCTCCCAAGAAGGAGCCGTCTCCTTTTCCGGGAAGGAGAAGCAAACATTATTTTTACAAGTACTTAAATATTACTATTTTAACTTCTATTTACTTAATACTTATATAGCTCTTCCTGTGTGCCTAGTTCTATTCTAAGCACTTGACCAAAATTAACTCTTTTTACGCCTGTCAAGCCTGTGACGTAGGCGGTGGTGTCCTCAGTTCATAGGTGAGGACGCTGAGGCCGAAGGCTGAGTGACTCACCTAAGACACACAGGCTGCAAGTGGTGAGCCAGGAGTCCAGCCCAGGGAGTCTGGCTCCGGCCTTGATGCCTTAGCCACTATGGTGTGTGTGCCTCTGTCATAAAGGTCATTCTGCAGACAGGAATCACACATGGTCAGGAAATCCTTAAAAAATCAGATTCTCTCCCTGGCTGGTGTCGCTCAGTCGGTTGAGCATCATCGGTGCACGCAAGAGTTGCCAGTTGAATTCCTGGTCAGGGCACGTGCCCGGGTTTGGGGCTCAGTCCCCAGTAGGGGGCGTGCAGGAGGCAGGCTGTTGATGTTATGCTCTCACATCAATGTTTCTCTCTCTCCCTCTCTCTTCCTCTCTGAAAAGTCAATAAAAATATATATTTTTTAAATGAGATTCTCCCAAAATAGTAAAAGGTTGCCACAACCTGCTGCTTACGATAAAGAAAAATCAGTGGCAAACTGAGCAAAGCTTTCCCATATTTACGCACAGAAAGTTCCTTTTTCCCTTGGAAAGGCCCACGCGGAGCTAACTCCTGAGGACGGTAGTGTTTGTGTAGCTGTGTCCCTTGATCGAGAGTTGCTAGCTCATCTTTGCCCTCTAGCATTTATCATAGATGAGAAGAGAGCCACGACACTTCCAGTGTTCTGCCTGGGGAGTCTTCTTAACTAGGTCATTAGGCTGTTTCCTGTTTGCCACATTACTGCATGTGACAGTGTCTCCAAACTTTCAGCCCTGATCCTGGCCTCCTTGAAGCCCCATGACACAAACTTTGAGATTTGAGATTTTTTTATGGTAGCCCCCTACTTCCAGGGCCCAGAATCTCACAGGGTCATCTAATGCTGAGAAATGGAGAGGCTTAAAACAGCGATCGTCGATGATTTTACTTCTCTGCTCCACACAGTGTCACCTGGTGTCCCTCAGCTGGGGCCTTTTCTTTCCAAAGCCGCTCACTCAGGTGCCTGGGAGCTCACCCAGGACCATCAGGCCCTGACCTCGGTTCCTTTTTATAGACTGCCCAGACTGCTTTGTGGCGTGGTGGTGGCTGTGTTCTAAGAGTGAGTGTCCCAAGGCGAGGTGAAAGCCATGTCTCCTCTTATGACTTAGCCATAGACGTCCCTTGGCATCCCTTCCACTATCGTCACAAGCCCACCCAGTCTCAAGGAGAGGGCACCTGGACTCCCCCTCTTACTCATGGGCTCATTCAGTCACACTGTAGAAACAGCATGGGGCATAGGACATACTGTGGTCATCGTTGTAGAGTGCCGTGTGCTGCAATATGAGACGATCTGAAGGTGTCCCATTACAGAACCTTTTGTCTCAATCTCTTCTTTATTGCCAGTAATTTAGCAGTTCCAATACTATAGTTTTTCCACTTGGTTGGATGGCATGTCTTCATTTAAGTATGCATGCAGACCTCTATATGTCAGCTTTTTGCCTGAATACATTGAGGTTATTTTTTTTATTAATATTGTACTTTGAAAAGAACCTGCCATCTATTAGGAAAATCAGATTCTTTGCTTTCAAAAAAAGGAGCTTCCCATCTAATTCATATTCTGGTTTGCACGTGCAGATCAAATGTCGTAGAAGCATTTATCAAAAAATGACAGTGATCACTTTGTCTCTTCCTAGCGGTCACCGCTGAATGGCGATGAAAAATCACTCAGAACAGCTTAGAAAATGATTTGCTGTTGACACGGGTGTGTTTCGCAATGAGCTGGCTGGTTTCTGCTTTACGGACAAGCCTGTTGAGCATTCATTCATTCTGTTGGTATTTGTGGCGCACTGCGCCGGGCGTTGGGCTTACACGGGCAGCCAGAGCGGTCCTCGCGGAGCATGTCGTGGAGTGAGGAAGATGGGCATCGGTGGGTCATGCCAACTGCTGTCAGATCACAGCCTCGTTAAACACCAAAGGCGCTCCGAGAGTGTCTGCTGGGGAGCCTGACCTCCTCTCCCCGGATGGAGCCCTTTGAGCGGGGATCCGGGAGACGCGTGGGCGTGAGTGCCACAGCCACGCTCAGATCCCCGTGCAGACCTCTGGACACGCTCATGCTCCTCATTTGCAGACATTTCTAGGGAATCAGTAGCTTCTGCTGTGTTTCTCTTAAGGGCCCTTAAATGTATGAAGTAACTCTTGGAAAACACTTGTTCCCACAGGCCTCCCAGAGCAGAGGTCTGAGTTTTAAAGAGCCTTTTTTATTTAGGAAGGATTCCTTTCAAATAATGCTCATCACTGAAGACAAACAAGTTCAGTTCAAGTAAGGGTTTAAGTACCAAGCAGAGCAGTGGTCCTCCACGTGTGGCCTGGGGACCTCTGGGCCTCCCCGAGACCCTTCCAGGATATCTGAGGTCAAAGTGATGTTCATAATAATGCCACATCATGCTTCGCCTTTTTCACATTCCTTCTTTCATGCGTGTAAGGGGGCCTTTCGAGAGACTGGAGGATGTGATTTCATCCCAGCGGATTGGATGCAGAAGCGTAGGTGAGAGTCCAGCCAGACGTTGCAAAGCTTTGGGAAATTTTATTATGTTCATAACATTGTCATTTATGTTAGCGTGGAATAAGTTTCTTTCTGTTGTTTCTTACTGAATTAGTAAGTACTTCTGAAATCTCTCTTTTAGCTTCTGTATGGTAATTATCGATGGCTATAACCCACGTCAGAACAGTTCNTTCTTACTGAATTAGTAAGTACTTCTGAAATCTCTCTTTTAGCTTCTGTACGGTAATTATCGATGGCTATAACCCACGTCAGAACAGTTTTCATTCCCTGGTCATTTTTAAAAGTGTAAAGGCACATGGAGACTGAGGACTTTGAGAACCCCTGAAATAGAGCTTTTTACTTGACTTGGAGCTTGTTACTTAATCTCTCAGACACAAGGAGTCTGTAAAATGGGGTGATGTTCAGAGTCCTTCCCTCATAAAAGGATTAAAGGAGCTGGTGTGTGTGGGTTTATAAGAATCCATGGCACAGAGTAGGCAGTGCTACGTGTGTCGGCTTCCATTATCATCAGCATTTAATGTGAAAGCAGAATTTAGGGAAATCCACCCACTACCGAAGCAAAGAATTTTTGCTTACGTTTGGGGTCGTATTGCTTTGGTAAAACACAGTATTCGGAAGGGAAAGAGATAGGGTTTTGCCATTTTCTTCTGAGTTGGGTTTTAGCGGAGGTCTTTATTGGTCAGTGGTCAGAGTGTGAGGTTGGAAGAGACATAAATTCAGAACTGCTTGGGGTACTTTCCCTACCTCCCCCTCTGCCTTTCCAGTCCACACCTTATCCCCGCAGCCAAGGTCTGCTGTGCTCAGGGTCACGGTGGACAGGTGGGCTGGTGGTGTTTGGGAAACCTCCCCAGAAGCTGTCATGTGTCTAGGCTCCCATTTGGTCCCCTTGCTTTTCGAATGAGAACCTGAAGCCCGGGGAGCGATTTGCTCACACAGGCTCCCCCAGCACATTAGAGGCCCAGCCAGGATGAGAACCAGCATTCTGACTTGTCATGGAAAAGACACCGGGCTCAGAATCAGGACCAGTTTCAGTCTTGGTCCGAAAGCCTGAATTGGTCGTCTAACGTTGATCCGTGTCCTGAAATCCCTGATATTTAAAACGGAGGTGAAAGTATTGACCATCCCAAGGTCGATTGGATGAGAAATCTCAAGGTGGTGCCCAGGGAACAGTCTCTTAGTAGAGGTTTCTGTACTCATGTGCATGTTGAGTCCATAGAGAGACACTTGCCAGTGAAATAGTGATTTTCAGAACCGAAAAGCCTGCCTTACCTATTCTGCTTTGTAGCTTTGTAACACTCTCTTTTTTCTGTCTTTTTAGGGCAGCCCAGAAACTTGCAGGACCTGTGCCGAATTAAAATTCGACAATGTATAGGCCTTCAAAACCTAAAACTACTTGATGAACTACCAATTGCCAAGGTCATAAAAGACTACTTAAAACACAAATTTGATGATATCTGATAGACACAGAACTGTGAGCAAGATGAGTTCTATTCCAGATACTTAAAAGGCTTTTGGCCTTGCACAAAGTATATCCTATGCAATTTCTGATTTGCTGTGAGGTCAGAAAGCAGGTATACACTTTTAGGTTTATTTTTGTTCATTTGTTTGTTTGGTTTTCATTGTAGGGGAGGGTTTTTTTTATATATATATATATATATAAACACACCACATGCTTGAAGGTCTTAATTTGGTTTCTTGGTCCAGGTTTCAGAGGTCCAAGCTTTCTATACAATATTGCATTTACAAAAAATTGTTTTTCCAAAACGATGCAGGCAGGTTTGGAGTGGAGAATTTTTCCCTTCGCAAAAGTCCGGTTTCATTGGCGTGCATGTTACTATAATCCAGCAGAGCACATGTTGAAGTTGGGAGTCGTAGTCTCACCCAGGGGGGTCCTGGGCTCTACTGGAAAATGCCCGAAGAAATTTTTTAAGTCCTGCTGTCACCTCATTCATTTTTAATGAATACAAATCGGCTGTTTTCAAACTGTTCCTTTCCTAATTACTGTCGCTTTCGGGGGACATAAATCCGGTACCTCTGTTTTCCCATCGGCGTGCTCTTGTTTTTAACTTATTTTTTTTAATTTTTTTTTTTTTTTTAGCAACTGCAGTACACTACCCAGAGACAGGGGGCCTCAACTTGTCTCTGTTTGAATAGTGCTTTTAAAAAAATTTAATGAGAAAGAAAATCACTTTCTAAAGCCACACTGTATTCTGTTTTTAAAACGCCTCCAGTGCAATACTTTTTCTGGTGTATTTTATACCTTATTTCATGTGATGGTCCTCATTCCACAGCCGGCTTTGACATGCCCGTGAGAACAGGAACTGCCACTCTCATTTTCATTGCAGGACCATAGTATCTCAGTTGCAATTTCCATTTTAAGTTTCGTCCTTGACTCCACTGGGAGCAGAAAATTTCATATCCTGGTGGTAGAACATTCCCGAAAAATAGCCCCAAATATTGTTAAACCATTTGGCTCTAAAGGCTAAATAATACGGGGTGGTTCCATGGTGGTGGTGGTTTTTCCTCCCCAGTTAAGAAAAACCTCCAAAGGGTAAAACTTCTAATGGGTGCACATTTGTAGGTCTGATTAACGCCTAATATGCTAATGAAACATTTCCTGTCCAATTTAAGGCTAGACACAGGGAAGCTCCTCGGGACAGTGATTTTCAGGGTTGATGGGGCCCACGCTTGCAGCGTAAAAACGGATCTGATAATGTGTCTGTAATGATGGAAAAGCTCCCGGAAGCTGTAGGGTCTGTGGTGGTGCCCTTGGAAATGGGTGCTGAGCTTGAATTGTCACCGTTTAGTTCCCCAAAAACCTTTTCAAATATCCCAGGATTGTTCTTAGTGCTTTGGGAAATTTCAGAGTAGTTAACGCACTGGTAATAAATTTCTTATCAGAAGTTTCCGCAATAAAGGGGCTTCTCTTGTCTGAGTTGCTAGTTCTATGTCATTAAGTATGAAACTGTTTCACCTGAAGAGTTTAACAGCGGAATTGGGCATCTGCTCGCTTGTCACTTTGGGAAGAAGATGATTCGGGGGTCACCGATGGGGGACATAGGATGTTTTGTAGGGAGCTAATGAGCGTGTGGCCAGCATTGTCACCATCCCCAAACTGTAACCGCAGCCTGGTGGCTAGAAATAGGTGGTCTGTTCTTTTCCCCACAAAAACATCTCCAGAAAGTTAGCTTCCGAGAGAGAGTCCCTTGTGAAATTGGGAGCCCAGCTGTGTTCTGATTCTCTAAACTAATACTCAGTTCAGAGCTAAGACACAGCAGCAGCAGCCCAGACGTGGCACAGCCAGGAATGAATTGAGCTTCAGTTCTCCCCCAGCCCCCAGGAGGTGAGGACATGGGAGGGCGAATGTCAGTGACAATTCCCACACGGCTGTTTTCTTCCTATACCTGTATTAATTTAATCGGTTAATTTAAATTATTTTCTTCCCCCAACTATTCCAAGGTGTCCAAACCAAGCCACTGAGTTTGAGTCAGGGAATTCCAAGTACAAAGATCAGATTAAGGTAAATTCTTCGTTCTGTATTGCTGCTGCGACTTCAGAAAAAAAATTATGAGAGCTCCTTCCGGAATTGAAATTTCTATTTAATGAAGATGTGTATAATTCCATTATTTATTGTTTGAGGTTTGATTTATCTGGACACTTAAAGAGAATGTTTTATTTTTGTTAATAAAAATCCCAATCACATATCATATTTCACAGTAACTAAAATGTCTCGAAATCGGTAATCCGTGGAATGTAGGGATAAATGTGCGGGTCCGAATTTGAATCTAATTGAGAAGCATCCCGTGGCCACATAATGTGTAGAGAAAACAAGTATTTTCAGAAAATCAACTAATTGGTTTTTCCAGAATCTTGACTGAGATGTTCAGAGTCATATCAAATTTGTTACTGGTCCTTCCTGTTTCTTTCGAAAGTTATTATTTAAGCCTCTGACTAAACCTTTATAAAAATATATTTGGCAAGTACACCAAAGAGACCAGCTCCTAAAAGATTATGATCATCCATGAACTGCCAACCTCATCTTTTGAAACCAAGATTTTTTTTTTCCCCCGTGTAAATATTTGTGTTCATAAATGTACAGCAGAGCAAGAGTGGTTTTTAGATTATTTAATTCCCATATTTCTAAACTATTTACTACAGAATAACCCCGCGCTTGTTCGTTTGGACGACTTGACCGTTTCGTTTAATTCATGATCAGTCATGCTTGGAACAGCATTTCCACTAGAGAATTCAGTGTCCTGGCAGTGGCCAGAGGACACGCGGAACACGAGGGAGCTAGCACCGTCTGTCAGGCGCACACCCTAAGCGACGAGAGTGTGTAGTTTAACGATCAGAGTGGACCATACGAAAATCGAGATTCTAACCTTCCTGCCGAATTGCTCAGTAGGCCAGAATGTGATCTGGATGAGGCCCTTTGCCCCCAAATTTAGCTTTCCTGTAATTCCTAGTGTGTTCTATCATAATGTATTTTGTTCTTTCTTTGTAATGTAAGTTTGTTTTGCTTTGGGTCAATTTGAATTAAAAAAAAACAACAACAAAAAAAAAGACTAAATCTGGTTTAAAACTTACTGGAATCGTGTTTTATTTCTAGGCTGCCTTAATGATTTAACATTTCCCTGCTCTTTGGTGAAAGAGAACAAAAATCTAATCTTCATCAGCTTTATTTTTTTATTTTATTTTTTTTATTTTTTAATTGATTTTTTAGAGAGAGAGAAAGGGAGAGAGAGAAACATCGATGTGAGAGTGAAACATTGATTGGCTGGCTGCCTCCTGCACACCCCCTACCAGGGATTGAGCCCGAAACCCGGGCATGTGCCCTGACCAGGAATCAAGCCAGCGACCTTTCAGGGCACAGTGTGATGCCCAACCCACTGAGCCCTTGGCCAGGGCTCATCAACATTTTAGATAATTGGGAACCGTGTAAGAATGTAATACAGAAAATAGAACGATTTTAGATCAGATGAGGCGGTGCTTACCACCACTATTGTTGTTTTTTAATGCATTTTGCAAATATCAGCCAACAAATGGCTTTCACATCCTTAAATGTGTTGCTCTAATGGCCAGCCTTTGGGGCTGCGCTCACCTCTGGCCCGTGCCTGCCACACCTTGACTGAGGACAGAGTTTGGGCCACAGCGTTTCTAAGCACAGAACAGCAATGCAGCTAAAACAGTGAGTTTGAGGTCGTTTCTTAGGCTGCAGGAGATAAAAGCAAAACAACTTTGCTTTCACACTTCCTCTGTGTAACATCAGCATAGCTCGATTCAGGAGAGACCTCAGACTGACATGAGTGATGGCGTGCCGAGGAAAAGGGAGACAGGATTTAGCACTTCACGCAGAAATTCGATGTTTTGCAACTCTAATCTTGTTGCAGACTTGTCCGGGGTTTGGCACAAGCGGAGGCCAAGAATGGGACATTTGAAACTATTCCTAATGATCAGCAGGGGAGTTCAGATGTGAAAAATAGTTGTGTTGCTTGGAGCTCGTGAGGTCATTCCTTTTCCAATATGATGTAAGTAGGGTATTGTTTTTTCAGCTGAAAGACAATTTACAAAAGTGGCTGAGTAGCTATTGATAAAACAGATTATCTACTTGATAAAGGAAAACAATTCCCCATCTCATGTAGTTGGGCTTCCAAGATGAAAGGAAATGGATCTGGATCCTCTGCCTGTATTTATGTAACAATGTTACCCTGTGTTCTCTTAACAGGTCTTACAAATTTTGATGTTACAGTTTATAGTAGCTTAAGTACCAATAAAGATTTTAAGTAGCCACTGCCAGGTACTGATACTTAGGCCTGAGCTGATGCAGATTCCTCAGATGCAAAGGTAATTGGCCTTCAGCATTACGCTGTCATTAGGAAGGTCTCTTAAGTCTTAGGTAATCAAAACAAAGGGCCAGCCATCATGTGGCCGTATATGATCTCATGCCTTTCCTTGTCTTCAGAATTTTGTAGTATATTTCTCTAAGATCGTGGTCTGTTTTATAGCTGTCTCATGATCTTCCAAAAGAACACGGATTCCTGAGTGACAGTTAATATTCTGAATCCTATTTGGAAAGAGGGAGTGGATTTCTGGAAGGTTCCATAAGGGATCATCAGGGTGCTAATGAAACCCTGTCTGATCTCTTGTCCTGAAGGGGTTTCTTACACTTAAGTCCTGAGATGGGTTCTGCAGGTTCGTTCATTCAGCGGTGCCCAGAGTGCCTCCTGCTGGACGTCCAGATCGATCAATTCTGAAGACCCTTAAACCATTAGGAGAAAAAAATCAGAGTAACGCAAATTGTTTCTCTTCTGTTGCAGGTAAAACCCCTAAAAAAAATCAGATGACCTTTTAAAAAAAATCATGAAATCTTTTGTAGTTGNAATTGTTTCTCTTCTGTTGCAGGTAAAACCCCTAAAAAAAATCAGATGACTTTTTAAAAAAATCATGAAATCTTTTGTAGTTGTTATAAACGTATCTTAAGTTAAATATTGGTTTCTCCCAGCACCTTAAACATCCCACATAGAACCTTCTTAAGGTTTCCTTTTATTTGGGAAATGGTTTTAAATGAATATAAATGTCATTTTCATTGTGTTTCATTAAGTTGTGATGAAGTGATTGAGCTCTCTGTGAAACAGTCTTTTGTGAATCAGAAAAGAGATGGCTTCCTTTGGACAATGGGACTCAGTTGAAGTTGAGAAACGCGGTGACGTGACTGACATGGAGGTAGCCCAGCTGCAGAGGTTTCCTATTTTATCTGGCAAAGGGACTTATATTTTCCTTGCTGCTCAGTCTTGAGCTAATGTTCCTTCCTCCTCTAAGTGTTTTGGGTCAGGTCACTGCTGTTTTCTTTTCTTTTACAAAAAAAAAAAACAAAACCCAAAAAACAAAAAGCCAAAAGAAAAACCACCACTTGTAGGGTGGACTTACTGTACACGACCGTTTGATATTTTTTTTAGCAGTTTTCTCGATTTCTCCCTCTTGATTCTGGCCACTTAGCCCTTTTAGGGAGGTTCACACACATGCACAAAGTGTGGCCATGACCTCGCCAAGTTGCTTTTTCTGTGGATTGTTTTCCCTGCCTGACCTGGGTAGAAATCGGGCTTAATATTTGATGAATTAGCCTGAGCTACCTTCATTTCCCCACCAGACAGGAACAAATTGCACTTCTTCCTGGTTTTTGTTTTTTGTTATTGTTTTTTTTAAAATATGCTTTTATTGGTTTTAGAGAGAGAGGAAGGGAGAGGGAGAAACATCAGTGAGAGAGTCATTGATCAGCTGCCTCCTGCATGCCCCCTACTGAGGATTGAACCTGAAAACTGGGTGTGCACCTTGACAAACCAGTGGCCTCTCCGTGCGTGGGACGACACTCAACCCACTGAGCCACACCGGCCAGGGCTGTTACTGGTGTTCTCAAGAAATCATTTTCGGCCTGGCCGGCTTGGCTCAGTGGGTAGAGCGTTGGCCTTTGGACTGAAGGGCCCTGGGTTTGATTCTGGCCAAGGGCATGTTCCTCGGTTATAGGCTCGATCCCTGGCCCTGGTTGGTGTGTGAGCGGGAGGCAACCAGTCGATGTGTGTGTCTCTCGCATCAATGTTTCTCTCCCTCTCTCTCCCCCCCTTCCACACACTCTGAAAAGCAATGGGAAAAAAATCCTCAGGTGAAGATTAAAAAAATAAATCAAAAATGATTTGCTACAAGCACAGTGAGCTCCTTGAAGACAGGCCCTGGGTCTCACTTGCCTGCATCTCAAACGGTATTTGCTGAGAGAATCCGTTTTCCAGATTTTGGCACACGTGGCAGCTGGTCCTTAGCCAGTGCCTCGGTTCCTTCCAGCCTCCAAGGAAACCAGGGCCAAGCGTTTCCCAGCTCCAGATCTCAGGTGAGTAGCTCTCCTAATTCCTGCCAGTGTCGCCTCTTGCTGTTCCTTCCCCCTTCCCTCTGCCCCCACCCATTGCCGTCCCCTTGGTCACAGTCACTGGGCGGTGGTCCCACGTGCTCAACTGTGCATGCCCACTGTGATGCCAGGTTCCAAAGAGACCCCTGGACTCTGCTTGAGGGCAGTTCTACCTCCCAGGAGTCTTCCCCCCTGAGCTCTCCCAGCACATAGAGCCTGGGAAGGGTGACAGTGCCCCTCGAGGCAGGGGACACTCGGGCACGTCCAGCTCAGAGCTCCCACCAGGGCGCCTGAGCTCCCTGGGTTGCAGCTGTGTTTAGACAGAGCCCTCCTCAATTCTCAGGGCAGCTGGGTGGGGACTGAGGCGGACCCCTTGTCCCATCACCACCTACCCACAGGCTTCCCTGCTTTTCCATGTACAATGGTATCATTTTTTACGTAGTCAAAAAGCACTGGCATAACCGGTCCTTCCTTAGCCATGTCTCCCCTCCACAGTGCCTGCGTGGCTCGGTGCCTTTCGCATAGCGGCTGCTCAATCGGTGTTTTTCGAGGGGATGCATCTAGTCCCAGCCCCTCCTTGTCAGGTGGGCCAGCCAAGCATTGAGGATGGAAGTGATCCAGTAGCTGTGGCTACGCGTGCAGTGACTGGAGGTGTGGGGCGCAGAAGCCAGGCCGCCTCGCCCTCTGCGTCCCTCGGCCACCCCAGGACCCTGCAGACAGCTTTAGGCCTCTGTGTCCAACTGTAACCCACTGATGACAAAAAGCACATTGACAGACCCCGGCGGCAGTTCCCAGCATCAGTCTTCTGCCAGCCCAATGCCAAGGG